TATTGTCTCGAAATGGGGGATACCGGGATGCCCCAATGAACGGCAATTTCAACGCGACAAAACGATGGCTGACAATCCATGAGGTGGAATGGAGTCCCCCATTTCCGAACAACCCACATTTGGGATGGCTTGTAGGATTGACGTTCGAACTACCAGCTACACTTTAGGTTTTGACCCAGACACACACATTCTTGGGCTGACCCGCAGATCGAAATGGGACAAAAAATGCTGTAATACAATGTTGGATGCATCAAAATCGGTGAAACTGCATCAAATCATGTACAAGGCGAAGGATGGGACAAAATGCTGATTGCAATTCAAGTTTGCAAATCGAATCCATTACTGCAAAGTCATGGAAACTCTACATCCACATTTTCGGAACGCCGGAAAATCGCCACTAGGCTTCATGCCACCGCTCTCAAAACCGTCCTTGTTTCCTGGCCTTGGATCAGAACTGGAGCCCCTTGGAATGGACTGGTTTCACAAATGTGGCACCAGCTGGGTTCCGGGGCTCTCGAACTGGAGCATATTGAAATCCTGAGATGGTCCCACATCATCCCACAACGGAAAAAATATGACAAAATCTTCAAGGGGATCCTACGGCTGGTGTTCACAACAAGGCGGTCGGAAAACACGTCAGTATGAGGTTGGATTTACAACAGCCAATTGTGTGATACCAAAAGGATCCAAAAGGTCTGAACACTGTGACCTATCGATCTGAAGTCATTTGGCAGTGTGTCAAAACCTTGTACCCCTGGTGAACATCAAAATAGCTGGTAAATGGATGTTCATTCCCCTAAAAATGGTATTAATAGGTATTGACCCATACCCATTTGAGTGGGACCATCATACCTTCAACAGAAGAAAGAGCCAGGGCATGTCATTATTGATTTCAAGGCCGCAATGCTACCAAAATCGATCCGTGTTCACGCAGATCCATGATAGCGAATATATGCACAATTTCCGGACTGGGTTCAAAGCAGAGACAACGAATTTCCTTCGATATCATGAAAGGGGACAAATCAAGACTGAAAAAGGTGCTCTTTGAATTCCTTTCACAGCTCTCTTCACCCCATCGGCAGGAAACTCCTTCGGTGCTGCCTAGTGTCGTCTTCCTACCGGCGGAAGCCAGGGCACAACACCTCAGACCAAAAACCGGCTCACTGCGTGTTGCGGCACTGCTGATCCTGAAGACTATCCGCCTATCAACCTACGGTGATGCCAACAAATAGATTGAAGGTCGTTGGCTCTCGAAACAGACATGCGAGCCCACAACTTGCGAGTGAGTCCAGGAAGTCCTCCAGGAAGTTCTCTAATTCCCCGAAAAGGCATCTTCCACGGACAACCCACACTTTTCAAGCCAAAAACTTTCGTGTCGCTGTTCTTGCGTTTGTTGTGCTGTATCGTACTGTCCATGGATGTTCTAGCTAATTTTTTGTACGGCTGTCAAGTCAGAGTCCAATATGAAAGTAAGACCTGGACCCAACATCATCCGCAGCTCCCAGTGATCCAAACTCTGCTGTTCTTTCTTTTTTATCTGCAGTTGCTCGACTCTCGCTAGACAGAATCCCTGACCAACATACGGTGCTATGAGAGCCGTAGGTTGCCAACATACAGGGCTATGAGGGCTGTAGGTTGCCAACATACAGGGCTATGAGGGCTGTAGGTTGCCGACATACAGGCCTATGAGTGCTATGAGGGCTGTAGGTTGCCAACATACAGGGCTATGAGGGCTGTAGGTTGCCAACATACAGGGCTATGAGGGCTGTAGGTTGCCAACCTACAGGGCTATGAGGGCTGTAGGTTGCCAACATACAGGGATATGAGGGCTGTAGGTTGCCAACATACAGGGCTATGAGGGCTGTAGGTTGCCAACATACAGGGCTATGAGGGCTGTAGGTTTCCAACATACAGGTCTATGAGGGCTGTAGGTTGCCAACATACAGGGCTATGAGGGCTGTAGGTTACCAACATACAGGGCTATGCGGGGTGTAGGTTGCCAACATACAGGGCTATGAGGGCTGTAGGTTGCCAACATACAGGGCTATGAGGGCTGTAGGTTGCCAACATACAGGGCTATGAGGGCTGTAGGTTGCCAACATACATGAGGGCTGTAGGTTGCCAACATACAGGGCTATGAGGGCTGTAGGTTGCCAACATACAGGGCTATGAGGGCTGTAGGTTGCCAACATACAGGGCTATGAGGGCTGTAGGTTGCCAACATACAGGGCTATGCTATGAGGGCTGTAGGTTGCCACATACAGGGCTACTGTAGGTTGCCAACATACAGGGCTGAGGGCTGTAGGTTGCCAACATACAGGGCTATGAGGGCTGTAGGTTGCCAACATACAGGGCTATGAGGGCTGTAGGTTGCCAACATACAGGGCTATGAGGGCTGTAGGTTGCCAACATACAGGGCTATGAGGGCTGTAGGTTGCCAACATACAGGGCTATGAGGGCTGTAGGTTGCCGACATACAGGGCTACGAGGGCTGTAGGTTGCCAACATACAGGCTGTAGGTTGCCGACATACAGGCCTATGAGTGCTATGAGGGCTGTAGGTTGCCAACATACAGGCTGTAGGTTGCCGACATACAGGCCTATGAGTGCTATGAGGCTGTAGGTTGCCAACATACAGGGCTATGAGGGCTGTAGGTTGCCAACATACAGGCTGTAGGTTGCCGACATACAGGCCTATGAGTGCTATGAGGGCTGTAGGTTGCCAACATACAGGGCTATGAGGGCTGTAGGTTGCCAACATACAGGGCTATGAGGGCTGTAGGTTGCCAACATACAGGGCTATGAGGGCTGTAGGTTGCCAACATACAGGGCTATGAGGGCTGTAGGTTGCCAACATACGGGGCTATGAGGGCTGTAGGTTGCCAACATACAGGGCTATGAGGGCTGTAGGTTGCCAACATACAGGGCTATGAGGGCTGTAGGTTGCCAACATACAGGGCTATGAGGGCTGTAGGTTGCCAACATACAGGGCTATGAGGGCTGTAGGTTGCCAACATACAGGGCTATGAGGGCTGTAGGTTGCCAACATAAGGTGCTATGAGGGCTGTAGGTTGCCAACATACAGGGCTATGAGGGCTGTAGGTTGCCAACATACAGGGCTATGAGGGCTGTAGGTTGCCAACATAAGGTGCTATGAGGGCTGTAGGTTGCCAACATACAGGGCTATGAGGGCTGTAGGTTGCCAACATACAGGGCTATGAGGGCTGTAGGTTGCCAACATAAGGTGCTATGAGGGCTGTAGGTTGCCGACATACAGGCCTATGAGGGCTGTAGGTTGCCAACATACGGTGCTATGAGGGCTGTAGGTTGCCGACATACAGGGCTACGAGGGGCTGTAGGTTGCCAACATACAGGGCTATGAAGACTGTAGGTTGCCAACATACAGGGCTATGAGGGCTGTAGGTTGCCAACATACGGGGCTATGAGGGCAGCAGGTTGCCAACATACGGTGCTATGAGGGCTGTAGGTTGCAGACATACAGGGCTATGAGGGCTGTAGGTTGCCAACATACAGGGCTATGAGGGCTGTAGGTTGGCAACATACAGGGCTATGAGGGCTGTAGGTTGCCAACATACAGGCTGCAGGTTGCACATGCAGGCCTATGAGGGCTATGAGGGCTGTAGGTTGCCAACATACAGGGCTATGAGGGCTGTAGGTTGCCGACATACAGGGCTATGAGGGCTGTAGGTTGCCAACATACAGGGCTATGAGGGCTGTAGGTTGCTAACATACAGGGCTATGAGGGCTGTAGGTTGCCAACATACAGGGTGTAGGTTGCCAACATACAGGCCTATGAGGGCTATGAGGTAGCCAACATACAGCTTTGATAGCAACGTTGCACGGTGTTTTGGGGTAGCACAACATGCCCTCCCTCTGTTTCAAGGGAGGACTGCAACCAAAGCAGCGCCGCACCACACAAAGGGGCCTCTTACCCCACACAGGGGCGGGCAAACCTGCAACTAAATTGGGCGCTCACGCGGTGACTGGTAGCATACCTCAGAAATCAAGGTAGACAATTCCCAAGACAGGATTCACCAGGTGTCCAGATCGAGGGGTACCAAGGAGAGCGCTTCTTTCAGCATGTCTTCACTGCTGTTCTTCTGCCGAGCTGCCCTGAACACTTTCTCGAAATACACTTCCCACAACAGTCTTGGATGGACATGGCTTTTCATGGCAAACAATCATTTTCAACGGAAAAACGGGCAACAAATGCAGTTGCATAGGATCGGGCCACCTGGTGGAGCTTCAGCTGGGGATCACGTACCAAGCTCCTGCCATCACAAGTCACCATCAAAATGGCAATCAACACCATCAACATCAAAGCAGTAGGCATCCCCATAGTGTAGTCATACTGTAGTTCCCTTCATGTTTGGCAGTTGTTATCCGATATCCTCTGCTCCATCCTGGACCATCCCAAACTCTCAAACGGTCCAGTTCCTTCAAACTCTCCAATATCTCAACCAAGATGTCGTGTGAATTGTTACAGGTAGCATCGCCGAACTTTAAACGACTCAAACCAGTGCCCGCCTTGCACAGAAGGTCTTTGCTTCAATGCAGCAACAGCCTCACCATGCAGTGCTGCAATCATGCTGGAGGGCTTGCCTGAGATCATCCAAGGAATTCAAGATTTATTGGGTGGGAAAGTGCCACGGCCGATCCACCGAAAATCTGGGCCTGTACCCCCAAACGGTTTTCAAACTTTCCAGTGACGGAGCTGCAGATCTACCACTGCCCAGTGTTCCTCCAACTTTAAATCTGTGGCAATCCCAAGAAAAATTCGTTTCGTGACACGATCCAGTGGAATTACATTGCTGGAGACCAAAAGGGGATCCTTCTCTCTTCACCCGCGGTGCAGTGCCCAAGAGTTTGTCCTCAACAAGGTCAAGCAGTCAATCCTTTAAAATCCTCTATATAAATGGGAAGTGAAAACCAGTCATGTAGATTTAACATGATTTAACATGAGAACACAAACTTTTGGATTCAGCCCAGGTTTAGATGTCCAACCCTAGCCGGCCCTAAGGCCCTCCACGGATCGGATCGGCACCTCATCGGGGTGGAGCCGCCAGCCTTCCGCAGATCTATGGCCTTGGTTTCTTCACCGGTTGCTGGACCCATCGACCGGTGATCCGAGTGCCCAACCCCGTGCAACCGCCTGGCGTTTTTTTTTGTGAGTGCTGCTGCTGCTGTGCTGCGAAAGAGCTGTGGAATCACTGAGAATAGTATGGAAATTACTATGGAAAGATAAAAATGATGATGAATTGCAATGGAAATAAAAATGGCAACCGATTTCCAGCACCAAATCTGGGTGCTTAAAAGGCTCCATATGTGAGGCGAGGCCTCAATGGCGTCCAGCTCAAGCACTGAAAGGCCATTGCCCTGCACTCGGATGACCTGCTCTGGCGGCAAAGTTGCACTTTGCGTTGCACTAAATGTCACTAAAGGATTGGCAACATTGATCAGCAAATCAGCAAATGATTCGCAATTCATGATCAGTGAATTTGATGACTTTGTTTTAAGCTAAACAGCCTCTGATGGGAACCATCGCTAAGACCTGCAGGCACCTCACAGTTCTCCGCTGCCGATTCCACGTGTCGCACGCCGTCATCCACGAACAAGGCATCTTGCGGTGCCCAGCCGCGTTTAGGATCCTGGGTGTTGGGATGTAGCCTGATCAAGTGCCCTTGGCAAGTGGGCTATTCACCCAATTTCTGACCAGCTTCGTATTGCCATATTGCCAGTGTAATATAATATGTTTTTAATATAACATCATGAATGTAGTATAGACAGTATAGATTATATTATAGTGTATCAAAATATATACTAGGTAGATCTAAGTAGCTATACTGGCCCGGGGGCTGCAAAATCTGAAGCCAGGGTGCAGCCATGATGTCAGCCTCGGGCAATGTGGTGCTGAGTCAGGAGAGAACACGTCCAGCGCCAGTGTCTCAGTGGATTTGAGGCCTGGACAATCAACCTGACATCGCACGGGTGGCAACGTATGAGATTGGGCTCGGGGCCCCCAAGCCCCAAAGAACCTCAATTGATAGGTATCCCGGTATCCCCCAAAGAAAGAAAAGGAAACTCAGGCATTGCTCTCTGTATGCTACTTGGATCAACTGCGGATTCTACTGGCCTATCTTGTGTTCCTGTCTGCTTCAAAACCCGTAGCAATCAGATGGGGTTGGAGCTATCTATCGTCAGCAGAGTTACACAAAGAACCTCTCATGCTTTGAGGCCTACATGTAACCCTGTATGTCCCAGAACAAGGGGCTCCAGATGTGTGTGACAACCTATATAAGTAGAGCCTCAAAACTACACACCGCCGAGAGTCTAAAGCAAAGGTAGCTTGGAGGCACTACGAAACACACTCAAAACTGTTTGCTTTTCACTGTTCAAGAAAAAATGCCTAGACTTGGAAAGCGGTTCTGACGGCAGGCCTTCCCTTCACAAATCCACGATCCTGCAGCTCTCGCGAATCCTGTCCATAAACCTCCACGCAAAAATCAGCTGCAGCTGGCTTTGAATGCTCCATCCAACAGATTCACGTAGCGCAGAACCCACATCCAAAAATGCCACCTGGTCACCTGGTCCAACATGTCATAATATGTCTCTGGCCATCCATGGCCCAGCTAAGCATCCAGCATTCTCCGTGTGGAAATACTGAGCTAGGCCCGTGGCCTCGGAGTTTGGTACTTCTTCAACATTGGGGCCCAGTTTCACAGGACTTTAACTTCTATGACTGACCAACCTACCATCCCACGGGGACCTCTTGTGCGTTGGTTTTATGGAGAACATGGTGACAAAATGCATCCAGCCAAGACTCCTCCGCGTTTCACACACCGAGCGCCCCAACATGAAGGTGGGGAAGAATGCAGCTGTCTCGAAATCCAATTGAGACAATGAACCTAAGACATCCAGTGCTATCAGTACTTGGATGAGGTGTGTGGCCAACAGCTAAATACCCATGGCCCATGTTGGCCATTTGATGAGTGGACCATCCCTCTGGAGAGAAGACCCGACAAAATACTGGTTGGATCTGGTTGGGGTCCGGGGTTCCCATTATGGGTGATCATATATCAGCTAGTATAACCATGGAGTATATCCTTACAATAGTTACAGATAGCTACAGTAATCAGCCAGGGCTTTGGTCACTGCTCATCTTGCCACGCTTCCAAGTTGCAACTCGCAACCAGCTTCGGTTAGAGCCTCCATTGTCGTGAGAAGATGTGCGAAGTAGGGTTGAGTCCGGTTGAGTCCGGTTGAGTCCCCTTTCTGTGTCGGTGTGTTTCTGGAACACGGCGGTGGAACTCTGGGAGCCTTCAAAAATGTTTCATGGTCATGGGAACCCAGCCGGTGAGTGGAAAATTCTCTGGCAGCTGTTGCCTGAAGCAGCCGACCGAGGCGCTGTAGCCGTTGCCTCCCCCCAAAGTTGGCTAAAATCTCCTCGTGTTGGGCGGAGCCACGGAGATGCGACGGTCACCCTTGGTAAGGTGGGTCCGGTAAGCTGGTGTACAACTAAGCGGACTAGGATCTACGGTGGGAATATATCTACAGTTGGATGGGTGAACGAAACCAACTCATGGCGGGGGGGACCCGCTTTTGTAGTGCCGAAGCCATGGCACTTATCTCCTGGGGCGTCATCGCAGAGAAGATCTCCGGACTGTCCGCAATGGCGTGCCTGGATGTCACCAAGGCAGGAGATGGGTCCTAAAAGCTGCTGCTCCACTTTGCTCTGGTGGTGATGTCAAAAGTCCGTGCAAACATCTTAGCCGTTCCAACCAGGGAAGGATTTCTGACCCCCTGAAGTGAACTCCGTAGTTCGTGAGGGTCATCACTTGATTCAAAGCTGCTCTGACGTTTGCACATTCTTCCCAGCAGTCGAAGGTTTTATTGCTGTCAAAGGCTCGACTAAACGTGTTCAGCCCTTGAAATCTAGAGGAGCTTACAAATTAACAATGATATGGACATTTTGTGTGGATAAAAATCCTGACAACCACGAGCAACTGTGGGACAAAGAGCGGAAAAGTCTTGCCACTGCTGCGTATGCAGCATCTGAGTAAGAATGTTGGCACGACGAAACGTCCAGCGCCCCAAGTTTCTGTAAATCCAGCGAATTATGATAAATATTATAAATAGTGATATAAATTGTTACAGGGTCACCGTTTCAGGGATTCAACTCATTTGACCCTTCGTTTCATACGCTTTTAACACACACCTGGTACTGAATTTCTCACTCAGCTGGTATTGGCAGCCTGTGAAATCGCGGAAGCTTGATAGGAGTTGTCCTTAGCACCGGAGCAACGGATTTGCGGACTGTTTGAGCCACACATGCGAGGTGGACGAGACATAGCCTTTCCCAGCCCTCCTAGACTTGCTTGAAGCACTGTCTTGATAAAGATCAATCAAATATCTGTGTTTCTGCAATGAAACGAGGGACAAAATAGGTTCATCTCAAAGTTTAGACAAGAGACAAGAGACAAGTCCATGCTCTTCTGTTGACTCAATTTTAGAACCTTGCAGATCCTGCCAAATACTCAGAGTTTGGTCAAGATCACATTCAATACATTATGTCAACAAATCCAGCCCACTCAAAGCACCATCTTGCCCCAACTCAATTCAAGCATCATCGTGGAGTCAAAGTCAAAGAACACCCCCCGCTTCGCCCACTGTGCACCGCCAAGCATGATGGGGGCCGCCACCATGGCAGCGACCCCCAGCTGTTGGGGTGGTAACAATCGATCGGTTTGTTCATCACTCTTTAGCATTGGAATGTAGCCAGGTCAGTGGCTTCAAACCATGGCCAAACGGATTCAAATAGTGACAAAGTCGAAACATAGACAATGTACCAGCGGATCGTGCCACCCTGGGGGTGACCTTTCTTTCGTGTCTTTCTTTCGTGTCTTTTGTGGTGCAGTCTGTGAGTAAACGGCCAAAGCAAACTTGCAGTGATGCATGGAATCATGCACCATTGGACCATCCCACTGATCAACTTTGGAACCATATGTTGTATGTAGGGCTCGACTTAGATCACAGGTATTTGCTGCATTTGCCTACACTCGCGAGGCCTTCCAATCGTCTTGGGATGATTCAACTCCAAGAGATGGGACCAGTGCAGAGATATTCGGGCAAAAAGCATGCCATAGAATGCCCACATCTGGCACATGTTTGACCGAAATTTGCGCCTGTTTGGGCATTTGACCTGTTCGAACCTGCAGTGTTCCAATGATTTCGCCATCCAGAATTCCATGATCCTCTCCTGCCTCTCCTCCAATTTCGCCTCCCAAAACTTCCGTGCTCCCCCACTCTCCAAGGCCAAGGATGCCTTTGCTGCCAGCAGTGGCACCCTCCAGCAACCAGCCCAGCCACGCTCACCTGGGCACCCATTTAGTTTGATGATTTACCCGCTTGAAATGGTGATGTTCCACTGCAAACTGTTTGATTACCAGAATGTATATGAAATGTTAAATGGTATTGAACTAATTAAAATCAACTGTTATGAAATGAATGACTACCAGTGAGTTGATATTAAATGTTCACCCAACTTCTGAGGATCCCTACTGGGATCCACTCCGCTACCTCCTTGCCCCGCACACAGGGCCACCTGCTAGGGGACCAACCACCCGTTGGGAAACCACGTGGTGACTTTGGGATATTGGGATCATCGGAAGTCACAAATTGGACTCGGCACGACTGGCACGACTGGGACGATGCCTCGATGACGCCATCAGGCGCAAGGCATTTCCTTGCTTCTTCCTGTCTGCACGATGGATATGAGGGCCCTGTGATCTGATGATCTGATGGCCAACCTGTCCCTTCATGAAGACCCCCGACCCCTTCCGCCACAGTTTCTCAGCTGTCCAGGAACGCTCCCAGAAGTCGACGAAGATCTTTGATGCCTCCCGGCACCTCAGGGAGTAAACGGGAGGACGAGCTCACTTGGTTTACCTGTGGCAAGGGAGACATAAGCCCTTGGAAATCCTCGAATTTGTAGATGATAGACCTCTTGAAAAGCGATGAAAATGAGGGCATTCCAGCATCCCATGGCTATGTGCGTTTAGGAGAGCATAATTTGTTTGGGCAATGAGATCTGACAAATACATGCAAATTCTTCACATTCTCGAAACATCTCGAAACTACAAACCATCTCAAGGAAATATCGAAGGTGAAGCCTCTGTTTCCCACCTGGTAGGGAAAGTTGAAGATGATTCGATGGAAACCATCCAATGGGAATGCCTCACCTGCGCACATCGTCATGTTGGTGCTGGCTTCAGCTGTAGTCTTCCCAGTAGGAGTTACACCAAATGTCTAAAAAATGTCCAAACTGGCTAATTGTCCCAAAAATATCAGAAAATGAAAGACTTCGGGATACTCCAATGTTGCCTCGCGTGTTCCCGAACATTGACAGAAACCCACCAACCATTCCAACATATTCCAACCATTCTCCAACAAAATCTCTGCCTGCCAATGTCTGCACCAATTGAGTGGCATCCACCTGGTGTAGAACCAAGGCTCCTGCCTCGCTGCTGAGTTCACTGGGTGGCGATGCTCCGGGTGTGATATTCCAGTTTCGATGTTGTTGGTTTTTAGTTGTTGTTACTTTAAGTTGATGGTCACTAGAAGATATTAGGGTCGGGTGAAAAAATATCGATAGTTGTGTTCTATATATATATATAACTATATATATATCAACAAGTACAATTCTCAAACAGAACCATAACTCGCATAACTTTCAATTTTTACTGGCTTTGCTCTAGCGCTTCTCGCTGATACTCCCCAGTCGCGCCTGCTCTAGCGCTTCGATGTGAGCCGAAGCAAGGCGGTAACGTCTCACCAACTCCTGCCGTTCAAGGGTATCATGGCTCGGGGACAACGTCTTACCACTTCCGTCCATGAGCACACACATCATATCATCCCCATAGTACAATTTTCAACAAACAGAAAAGGTCTATAATGTGTATGTATATATATATATGTATATATATATACATATTATATATATAAGTACCTGTAATATCTATCTATTATGTGATATTATATGTAGTACATATGTAGATATACAAAGATGTCAAGTCTGTTGCCGCCCAGATCACCTCTCGAGTCTCCAAAGTGGTGGCCACCAACCTGCCCACAGTGACCCTTTGAATTGGCTGCGGGAAGTGACTGGTTTTCTTTTCGAAGGATCCAAACGATACGATGTTTAGCAAGCCAACCTCCATGTGCAACTCAAGCTTCGAGCCAAACACCAAAGTCATAGCTTGACATAGCCATGGGAGAAAACTACACTGGCAAAAACCTTTGTTGCGCTATGACCTTGCGCACTCTCCCACCATCAACTTTGCAAAGGACCCGTCGAGTAGGCAGGTAACTCCGGTAACTCCACCGTTTGAATCGGGGTGTGAAATATCCCATCTATGTATATATATATATACGTATATATATATATACATTATCCAAATTATGGGGGCAACATCTCCAATAACCATTGGAAGGTGATTGATGTCAAAAATCAAAAAGAAACTTGAACATTTGCTCGCCTCAAATCTGGCTTGTTCTCATACAACGCGGCACCTCAATGCACAATGCACAGTAACTCTGTGTCTTCAGCAGTCAAAATCCTATGGTTGTGCTGAAGGGACAACAACCAGACCAGACCTGATATGAGTGAAACACAGAACCCATCCAAGTCAAGCATGAAATGAATGAGAGTGGCTCAAGAGTTGTAGACACCAGAATTAGATTTGTAGGCCACCCTTTTTCTGGTTGGTCACGCCACCAATCTTGCTTCTGGCTTACCCAACCAGCCACCGGCTCAGTGTCCTGCTGTAGCTCAAGTCGCCATCGCCTAGCACCAAGACCTGGGGCGCAAAATAGTGACCATCGAATGTAAACCGCCATTTGTCAATCACGTCTCATTACGAATCACCCATCATCCATTCCCTGAGACGCAGTGTTTCTCCAGTTATCTCCAGCTGCAGCCACGACACCCGTTGCCCACCACGCTTCTCGGGGGCAAACACGGTCAGGGCCGGGATTCCCAGATACGTCTCCAACCATTCGCTGGCCCGGAGTAGGACCTAGGACTTTGGGGACGGGGATGGGATGTCTAAACTGCCGAAACGGTCAGCACTTGGATGCAGCTTTGACATCTGGGAAAGTGTCATCCCCCTAGTCATCTGGGAGTTCCAGCCGCGGATGTGGTGAAGAGGAGCGGGGCACCTGTGATGCTGCGGAACCCTCTGGGAAGGACAACCATGGCTTGTTTGGACCGGAAAGGCTCCAAGGAGTACATTGAAAGGCACAACTGTGGGAATATTCCAAATAGACATTTCTTCTTTCTGCTTGCAGCAAGTATTCTGAGTTATTTCTGTGACAAGAGAGGTCAGGTTACCATTCCGTCCAGCAAAGGTTTATACAAGCTGAGCTAAACACATATAATCGATATCAATCGATGCGATAGATGGACCTGGTGTGTCCTTAGTGTCCTTGCATTTTTGCCCAGTCACGGAGCTTCCATGCGCGGCGCCGCCAGGGCCGCCATATCCATCCATGGCACATGCGGTGCAGGAGTTCGCTGGATCTCGGAATGAAGACATAGATGACATAGGTAGAATAATTCCATTGCAATCAGTTGAAAGGTGAGGATGCTCTGGGGGTCAAAATGATATTGCTGATGGGAAGCGGGAAGGAAGTCAAAATCTAAGCTTGCTGCATGTAGCGACGTCAAATCAGGACAATCAAACGCTGTCGGTGTAAAAACAACTTGAATTCGCAGGGCTGTTGATGCAAGGTTCCCATTTTACGGGAGTCACACCAACATCCTTCCAAGTAAGTTGATTGTTGCTCAAAGTGATCCCATTTTTGACACTGTCAGCAACCTCTGATGGGAGGCGACTCATTGGAAGCTGGGAAGAGTTGCTGTGGCTGCATCCTGCAATGTGTCTGCCAACCAGATCTACTGCAGGTGGCATCACATGACAAGTAGAATGGCACAACAGCTTGAGCCACACCAAAGCGCCAAAGCGCGGCAGTTGCAAGACATTTGGAGATGCCCTGTTTGGTGCAGCCATTTCGGCGATTTTTTTCCACCCAACCTGTCATTTCCAGGTCTAGCTTTGCCCCACTCTGAACCCATCCTCCCATGGCGCACGGCTGCTGTTTGATGGACACTGAGGGTGGGATCCTAGCAGGTACTAACATTGCAACAACGGCCTTAGGTGCTCCTTCGTTTGCAACAACGATGTTTGGGTAAGTCTTTACCACTTGACACTTTTCATCTACAAACTAGAGGAAGTTCAAACCGAAGTCGCTGGGAGACCACAGCTGATTGAGATCCCTGAGAAATGACAGCACAGAAGGAAAGTTGCATAGCAGCTGAGTAAATCTGGAGATACCCTCTGGTAAACTAACATAACAATGGAAAATCACCATTTTTAATGGGAAAATCCACTATAAATGGCCATTTTCAATAGCTATGTTAGTTTACCAGAGGGTAACATAATATAACATCTCTGTGGGCAGCTGGCTTCCGATGAAGCTCCACAGCCCAAGTTGTGTAGCAAAAAAAGACCCCAGCTTTTTGAAGCCCTGTTGCAACATGTCAGAATGACTTCATCATACCTCCCCTCTTGATCTGACCAGTCCTGCACGCAACATACAAGCTCGCCACGAACTGTCTGTAACTGCATGTGTGCGTCTGATTAAGAGACCCAAGTTGGCTCCCAGAAACACACCGTTCATGGAAGCTGGCATTGATTGAGTTTTTGCATGGCACTCTTGATATCTCTTGATGACTCCCACGAAAACGATACATCTTCGAACTCGAGTCCTTCTCACAGAAACCGGACACAGGACCGGCAAATGCATACACTGAGCTTGGGACACATATTTCTGGTTGCCTGGAAGAGCTAGGACATCATACCTTGGGTTTTGCTGACGTGTTGCGTCAGTTGATTGTCTGACTGAGTGTAGTCAAGGGCCTCTGAAATGCCCATTCACGTGCGACAGTCAACTACTACACAGCTTTAAGTCACAGCTGTCTGCTATGTCTCATGCGCTGCCTAGTCTGTTTCTGGTCTATACATATTGACAAACTGCGGAAAAAAAACGTATGCAATTTCTGCCAGAAGAGAATCCTGAAAATTGGTGCCAACACGGCCAAGATGCTGTCGTTTTCTCAGGAAGGCATCAAATGTCTCGAATTTGGGGTCAGCCTCCAGCGTCTCGTGTGACACTCGTGTGACACTAGTGACCTGACGGATGAAATGCCAGGCCTTTTTGCCATCGCCGGCTGCGGCAGGGGCCGCGGGCGCAGGGGACGGCTTGGCCGAAGAGCTCACGGCCTCGGCGCTGCCGAAAATTTTTGCCATATCCATGGAAGTTGTTCTATAAATAAATAGTAATTAAATAAATATTAAATATCATCTTGTATAACTGGATATTTAACTTATAACTAGTATAATTAGATACATTACATTGCCAAAGTGTACTGGATGTTCAAAGTGTTCTCGAAAGATGGCCGGATGGATCTTGACATCTTCATACAGGGCCAAATGTTTTTTCTTGGACAAAATGATCTGTTTTTATGTCTTTGACGTTTCCTTGAGGAGACCACTGAAGAGCTACTCGCACTGGCAAGGCGATTCAGAATTGCGCTTTTGACAGTGATCACGGGATCTTGACGAGGTCCCATGTTGGATCCTTAAATAAAACATGTTTCCTGATGTTCACATTATTCTGCTTCTGGGTACAAAAAGGGATGGTCTGGCACAAAGAGAGTGACTAAAAAGAGACTGAAATCGTGACCCATACCCACATGCCAACTTGTTCGAAGACCTGAAGGAACCGCCCAAAATAGCAGATCCAGGATGCTCCAAGCACATTCACATACAGAAATGGCAAATGAATGGCAGCTGTAAAATAACCTGAGCCTTGACTAAAAGGCTTCTTGTGACAACAAAGGGAAGTCGAGTGATCCTTGACACGTTCAGTTTAAGAACGTACCAGATGCCAATGACTCATATTTCCGGTAGCCAACTTGCACCACAATTTTCAGGCCTGGCGCTAGGTGCAGGTGCCTGGGCTCAACAAGCACCCCTGAAGTTGATTGAAGAATCTGCGGTAGTCAGCACTTCTAGATACTGAACCTGCAGTTTGCTGGACAATATACAAGATTATACAAGTATCCCTGTCAAGTCTAACCCCTAGTTAAAGCTTTGGCCTTCCCAATGAAGTAACACATAATTACTGCAAAAGAAATCAAAGATCGCTCAGCTTCTCTCTAAACTATGGCTATGACGCTCGCCTTTGCGACTGGCTCCTGCTACGCTTCAGACGCAACGCGAGAACTGTTTTCACGTACTTACGCGGAAAATGATGGTTCGGCATGATGTGTAGTCCATTCACAGACCTGAGCCTTCAAAAACCTAAAGATATTCTGAACAAAAGCTACAGCCTCCCCATCATACCAGATAATGACAAAAGACCCGTAACAAATGCTCAGACTGTAGAGCAAAGATGTCTCCGGAAGATGTTGACACACGAAAAGCAAAAAAAAACATAGATGACCTGAGAAAGGGGGAACGAAAGCCAGCATCCCATCTACCCCTATTTTCCACCATACTTTTCACCCAGCGACTCTTCAATACATTTCACCCATATACTTTTCACCCAGAGATTTTTCACCCAGAAACTCTTCTTGCACAGACTTTTCACCCATATACTTTTCACAAAGAGACTCTTCACCCAATTTTTTTTCTTGCACATACTTTTCGCCCATATACTTTTCACCCAGAGATTCTTCCCAGAAACTCTTCTTGCACAGACTTTTCACCCAGAGACTCTTCACCCAGAAACTCTTCTTGCACATACTTTTCACCCATATATACTTTTTACCCAGAGACTTCACCCAGAAACTCTTCTTGCACATACTTTTCAACCAGATACTTTTCACCCAGAGACTCTTCACCAGAAACTCTTCTTGCACATACATGTCACCCATATACTTTTCACCCAGAGATTCTTCACCCAGAAACTCTTCTTGCACAGACTTTTCACCGAGAGACTCTTCAACCAGAAACTCTTCGTGCACATACTTTTCACCCATATACTTTTTACCCATATACTTTTCACCCAGAGACTCTTCACCTAGAAACTCTTCTTGCACATACTTTTCACCCATATACCTTTCACCCAGAGGCTCTTCACCCAGAAACTCTTCTTGCACAGACTTTTCAACCATATACTTTTCACCCAGAGACTCTTCACCCAGAAACTCTTCTTGCACATACTTTTCACCCATATACTTTTCACCCAGGGACTCTTCACCCAGAAACTCTTCTTGCACATACTTTTCACCCATATACTTTTCACCCAGAGACTCTTCTTGCACATACGTTTCACCCATATACTTTTCACCCAGAGACTCTTCACCCAGAAACTCTTCTTGCACATACTTTTCACCAATATACTTTTCACCCAGAGACTCTTCACCTAGAAACTTTTCTTGCACATATTTTCACCCATATACTTTCACCCAAAGACTCTTCTTGCACCTACTTTTCACCCATGTACTTTTCACCCAGAGACTCTTCACCCAGAAACTCTTCTTGCACATACTTTTCACCAATATACTGTTCACATCTTTTCACCCAGAGACTCTTCACCCAGAAACTCTTCTTGCACAGACTTTTCACCCAGAGACTCTTCACCCAGAAACTCTTCTTGCACATACTTTTCACCCATATA